GTAAAATCGGTTCGACGCTAATGGACAAATTTTCCCCACATGTTTTTTATTTGTGGAACTTTTAGATTTTCGAGATTGGACTTAGCCTTGTGGCAAGTAAGGGGGGGGGGACTCTTAGCCTTGTCGGGAGGAAGGGGAGAGGTGAAAGACGTGTTGGGGAAGAAATGCACCCTAAAGAGCGGCAAGCTGCACTGATGGTCATGTACAGAGCTCCCTCAACGTCACAGTCAACCAATCGCTGCGGACGTTGATGCGATGGGGGTGTGATTTAGCCCCCATGCCGCATTCGTTCGGGCGGAGCGTTTTCCGGCTTAAAATGTGGCGTGGTTGTGCAATCTTGCGGTGCGAAGTCCATGAAGTTTGGCATATCTCACGGCATTGGTGAAGCCATGTTGGACAGATTGCCGCGGGGTGTGAGAATCTCTTTCACAACCTGGTCTGAGGTTTGTTATGCTTGAGGTAGGGGGATGCGAAATGAAAGAACGAGAGTGAGGAGTGATCTTCGATTGGGATCTCGATCGATGTCGAGAGAGCGATCTCAAGAGAACGAGCGTCTCCACTGGCGTTGGAGAATGTACAGTGGGCAGGCAGGCACTAGCGACTACTCTTTCCCACCGCAGCGCCGTCCGGTGCACCTGAACTCAACCGCCACCGCTTCGTCAAGGTCACTCGCCCCGGGCTGTTGTGGGCGGAGCCTGCCGGGTGACGTCACGCGTCGATGGCGGCGCCGCGCGTCCGCCGCGTGGACCCATGGTCCCGTGGCTGGCTGGCGCCGTGCCAGGGGCCGGGCGCCACCTGCGGTCGGCCGCCGCCAGCCGAACGGCGCCTGCCGCCGCCCCTGCTCCTGCCAAGGCCGAATCGATGCCGGCGCGGCGCCCGGCCGCCCCGAGACCGCCGGTTTCGGGACTCTGACGCGCGCGCAAACGTGGTGCAATCGGGCGCGGGACAACGGTGACACGGCCGAGGTGTACACGGCCCCACGCTCTGCCCGGTCGTCTCTCTCCGCCCCCTCCCCTTCCCCCCTCGCGTCCTGGCGTCCTGGCCGGACGGGTAGCAGATCTCGGCGCCGGGGAGTCGGCGCCGGCTTTCACAATCACGTGCGCCGGGCAGGGGTCGACAGGTTTTCGGCGAACGCCGGTGCGCAGCGCTTCCCTGCTCCGGTTCGGGTCAGAATCCGGCGCGCCCGGCGATTTCGGCTCTGATAGCGCTGGCTCTTGCCCAACCCGGGGCCTGCGAAGCCGGGCCCTGCCTCAAGGTCATCTTTGTTTTGTTTGGTTGTGGCGCGCCCGCGCGTAGGCCGAGCCGGACGTAACGGTGCTGAGACGGGCTGGGGTGGCGGACTGCATGCAGGGTTGCGTCGGTATCCGTGCTGGGATTCTAGCGGATGCAGGTGTGGGACACCGTACCCACGTATACGGAATGCAACATCAATTGATGCAGCCCAAAGAACGCCCAGGAAGCCCACACATGCACCTGTGCATATATAGGCGGGCTGAAGCCAGCTACCCAATGCTCGGTGAGGGGTTCTGAGACTCGGGAAGAAAGACCGACGAACAGCGCAGATTTTTAAGGAAAAAAACATAAAAAAACAGATCCACCACTGGCGCGGATGGATTAACCTGAGGCTCCAACCTGGCAGGGGAGGAGGGGAGGGGGGGAGGGGTATCAGTCCTACTTGACCAGCTCCCCGTCATAAGCAGTCACCCCGCTGTAATAGCTTAGCGACGTCAGAGATGGGATGGCAGTAGGGCGCACTCTTATGGCTTGATGACGTCATGTTTCCGAGAAGTGGCACCCATATGCCGACTTATGACCTGATGACGTCATACTCCGCTGACATAGGTCAAGTGATAGCGTCACATCTCAATAACCTGATGACGTCATATGGCAATTCATGACTATCTGATGACCTTCACATAAGTGACCTTGGGTCATCTTGGGTCAAGAGACCTGAGGTCATCCGTACAATTGGGTCGTACTCATGTTGTTCGAGAACACCCGTGAGCATTAATAGTCACATCCTTCGAGTACATTCTAATTGAATGCAGGGTGATGTCGGGCGGCACAGTATCGTTCGGTATATAGGGCCTGTTTGACAGGCGCCGGTCAGTTGTTTGGTGGTGGCTGCAGAGTTAACATCCCGCGACATTGCTCGGTGTGTCGGTGCGGTGGCGGATGATGCGTCCCGACGGCCCCCATGCGCCGTGCCGATGGTACGCAGTGTACCCGCTTGATTCCGAAGCCGTTTGAACCCACACGCGAACCCGGCGTGAGAGCGCCCCCAGCTGTGCGGCGTGTCGCTCAGTCGCGCGGTGGCGTCCGGGTCGCTCTGTGTGTGTCTCTCTCTGTGTGTGTGTGTGTGTGGTGGATACATGGGCCGTCGGTGTTGGCGGCGAGCGGCGTGCCCGGCTGACGGCTGCCCCTGGCCGGCCAGGTGTGCTGTGAGCGCGGCGGCGGCGGCCGCTGACGTGGAGACGAGCCGACCGTGGGAGCGGCAGCGGCTCCCGATTGCCCTGGAGGGCCCCGGCCTGGAGCGGCGCGGCGGCGGGGCGACGGCCGATTCGGCGGGCCGCCCGTCGCCAGAGGTGACCGACTCGCGGCCGCAGACCGGCTCGCTGGTGAGTGGGGACGCCGCCGACAGCCTGGTCTCCCGGGCGGCTGGGAGGCGCGCGGAGCAACGGCCCACCCAGGCCCACGGTCACGCCCTCGCGGGTCACCGCTGCCGCCTGCCGGGCCGCCTGGTGCGGCCGTTTTAATTCAGTGGGACGTTCTCTCCGCAGTGTTTGGTGATCTCTGCTGTGCGTGGCTTGGGCTCATTGGACTCGCTTATGGGACTTAGAGACGAAAAACCTGTTCTTAATCGAAAACCTATGCTGACTTTTTATTTCATTGGTGTATTTTATGAAGCGCCTTCCGTGACCAGTATTAAAGCGCACTGCTTCATGCATCCAATATTCAGTGATCCATTGCTCTCACTAAATAATACACGTACGTCGTTCATTATTCAATGTGCAATGTCGTGGTCGAGCTGACAATCGGCTCACGAAAATAGCACGAGTGTCACATGTATCGTAAGTGGTCATGTAACAGTTCGGTATATTTAGCCGGTTGCAACGGACGAAAACCGTCGTAACTAGGCCTTCCGTGCCGGCTGCAACGTGGCCGGTATCGCGTGGCAAGGCGTGTGTTATGTTGAGCTGAGGAGTCCGAAGTCCAGCATGCCTTTGAAAACCCACGTGATAGGGCGGGGGATACGCTATGCTGGAGGGGGGGGGGGGGGGACGTGGTGGTTGTGTTCCTGCAGAGGAGACATGTGTGTTTTTGCAACGACAATTTCACGCCGGTACTGCGCCGGCCCCAGCATAGCTTTTGAGTTACTGGTCTGTTTTCGGCGAAGTATGGCGTGATATCGTCGCGGGTACAAGTGGTTTTAGATAATCCACTGTGCAGGCTCTGAGGTGGCATACCGAAGGTCGTTGCGACTTTCTGCTGGGCAGGCGAGTGTGTGCTTAAGATGGTTAGGGATAGGGTCATAACCATTATTATACATATTAGCTGCGATGATTTGCAGCGGCCATGATTGGCAGCTTTTGCTTACTTTATGCTTCAGCTTTGGCCCTTCTTGACGTCACGGTAGCCGAAATTTTTGGATTGGGAGGTTTTTTAAGCGTCAGTGTCTTGAAGTTCAGTTGGCGTTAATCGTATAATTCATATGTTTGAGCCCCAGTTGCGAATAATTTATTTCTTCCCCGTTGGATTTGGAATAAACAGTTCTATATGTGTGCCATCCTAAGCAACATTTCAGGTCATTGGGCCGGCTTTAATGCCTACTCATTCTCAACGGTCAGAAACCACATTCGGCATGTAGCCCTCGTCAGTGTAAAAGATTAGACATGGTGTGGTGTGGATGTGTTTACGTGTGTTAATCGTTCAGAAAGGCGCGTCAGTGTTTACTGAGTCTGATGAAGTCCAGAAGCCGAATACATTTCGCAGCTTCGTCTGCTTCTCGATGCTGGGCTTGCGGCGTGGCTGTCATTGTGCGGCTCTGTGCCGCAGTGCGTGGGGACGGCCCTGGTGGTCGCCTGTCCATGGGAGATGGGTAGGTAGAGGAACCACTGTAAAAATTGAGCTTCTCCCCCGACCGTGCAGCATAAAGTTACGTGCTGTTGAATGTGGTGATGGCATCAGCGCTCCGAATAACTGCTTTTAAATGTCAGTCGTCAGCGCATGCAAAATACAACAGGGGTTCGGGAAGCATTTTTGGGACGTTAGTCATGTACCTATTTACCTTTTTATGATCAGTACCGGTACCCACCTATGTTATCAGTACCTTTTAGTCTGTGTCCGTGAAGGATTGTGAGATGCGTTAAGTCCGTTGAGCCCCCTTCTGCACGCGTCGCGTTGGTTTCATGCGTGTGGATTAGCTCAAGGTGTCGTCTCATCTCGAGTGCTAGAAGCTCTTCATCTCAATCGTCTACATTCCGTTTCTTTCTTCGGCGTATCGCTCTCCTCCCGCCACCAACGCAGCTGAGCTGATCATTGCGTTTCGAGCCGGGCCTGGCAACTGTAATCGTAGGAGCAGGGCTAGGCAAGAGCATGGCCCGCCTCTTCTGTGAGAGCGTAGAGCGTGCATTCTGACAACACGCGGTGCATGTTAGGCTCGACTTGGAGGCGGCTGGGGTCCCGCCGCGTCGCCGCGCGGCTCCCATTGGGCCGGGACGTTGGCGCCACTCCGCCTTTCCGAGCCGCGCGCCGCAGGGGTCGCCGGGTCCGGCCGCGTCGTCACGCTGACCGCATGACGGCCGACGCGCGCTCCACACGGTCAGCCCGCGTGCAGCCGCGCGGCGGCGGCGGCGGCGGCGGCGGCGGCCATTGGCGGCCCGCCATCAGCCGCTCACGTGACGCTGGCCGGCCGGCACGTGACTGGCTCTCAAGGTCGCCGGCCGCCGCAGAATGCGGCGCCGCGCCGCCCACCCCGCTCCGCCGTCCGTTGACCCCGGCCCGGCCGGCGCGCGCGCCTTACGTAATTTGTTTTGATAGTGGCGGTAGTAGCGGCGGCCGCGCGGCACGAGGGGGCGTGCCGAGTGTTTACCCCGGGCCTCGTCACTGGAAGTGGCGGGACGGCGACAGTGGCTTGGGCTCCGGACGACCAGCACGGGCCGCTGGCGGCTTTTGTGTACGGGCGGCTGCCGTCCGTCCGCGTGGTGTGCGGGGCGGGGAACGGCTAGTGCGTTCGCGCGCACGCACTTGGCTCTGCCGATGACCTTGGAGCTTTGTCGGGCGGTGTAGTGGGCGACCTTGACATCAACCCTGCTACACTGGCAATGTGCAACCTGAGGTGAGAACAAACTAAAAGGCCAGGGATCTACTTCGATGGGGACATTGGGTTACACTGATGCACGAGGTTCGAGCTTCACGGTTTGTTTTGGTCATGAGCTTGTTGGTCGTGAGCCGCTCTGTTGCTCGTGACGTGCTCTGGCACTGTGCCGAACTGGGCTGACCTTTGCCGGGGCTTCCGCCGCGGCGGTGCGTCACAGCGACGGGGTCGTCCCGACAGCCACCAAACGGCTTTTACGTAACAGCTTGCGCAAGCCGCGGACTGGCGTCCTTTCCGCTTGCTAGCCGCAGTTGGCCCGGGATCGGTCTGACGTGCGGTGTATTTGTGGTGGTTGACGGCGCGTAAGCGCACTCGATGCACTCTGGGCGGGCAGAGCTGGAGGCTGCGCTGTCTGCTCGGCCGCGGCTGTTACGTGGCACCGGACGGTGGCTGGTGCGTGGCCGGACGGCGGCGCGGGAGTGCGACCCGCCGTTGCCCCCCCCCCCCGCTCTCTCCCCGCGGGCGTGACCTCTTTGTTTGGCGGTGCTGCTCTTTGTTCGGTCGTGCCCTTGTCCTGCGGAGCCAGCTGAGCGGCCGGTTGCCAACCGCTCGGGCTGTGACGGTGCGGCAGTGCGGTGCCGTGTGGGTGACTAACGGCGCGCACCGCCTCCGGCAGATTCATCGAGCGCTGGGCGTAGGGCTGAGTCCGCCGTCCACCGGCGCCTGGTGCATGGACATGGACCAGCTGATGGAGGCGTCGCTGGGCGCCGACGAGGACGCGCAGACGTACACGGCCGGCGTGCCGATCCCCGGCCGCCAGCAGTGGCCGTTCTCGCGACCCGAGTTCACCGAGATGCGTGCCGGCCGCACCGAGCCCGAGCTGGCCACGTCGGCCGGCGGAGCCTCGTACCCGCCGCTGGCTGAGTACGGCTCCAGCCCCAGCCCGGGGGCTGCCTGGCACGGCGCCTTGCACGAGCCCGAGCTGGCGCGCAACCTGGCCGAGATCCAGATCGACGACATCTTCGAGGACGTGGACGTGGCGGACCTGATCTCGGGGCCGGCGCTGCGCGAGCCCACGCTCACCGAGCTGAACGCTGGCGACGACCTCAACGAGCTGTCACTGGACTTCGGCAGCGGCGGCGGCGGCAGCGGCGGGTTCGGCGAGCGGCCGCTACCACCCCTCCGCCGCTCGTCAAGACGGAGCTGTTCGACGCGCCGATGAAGAGCGAGTGGCCGTCGTTCTCGTCGTCGATCCCGGCGTCGTTCGCGCCGCAGGCGTCACGGCCGGGGCTGGTGGGCCAGCACGACCCGATGCTGCCGAGCTTCGCGGCGGCGCGGCGCACCGAGCCGCGCCGGCCGGCGCCCACCTCCGGCGGCCGGCTGACGCTGCAGGCGCTGCTGGCGCAGCCGCTGGGCGGCTCGGCCCCGCACGCGGCGCCGGCCGCCGGCAGCCCGGCCGGCCGGCTCAGCAGCTCGGTGCCTTGTGACAGCCAGCTGGAGCAGCGCGTGTCGCGCCTCATGCCGCTCGCCGGCGTCGGCCGCATGGACGAGCTGCGCGGTTCCAGCTCGTCCGTCTCCACAGGTGAGAGCGGCGGCGGCCTGGGGCCCCGGCGCCGCCGTCGGGCGCGGTCGGCGGCGCTCGCCACCGCGTCGTCCGGGCCCCCGGCCCGCGGATGCGCCTCTGCTGTCGTGCGGTGTGTCGCCGGCCGAACCCTGTAGAAGTGGGCTGAGTCGCCCCCTGCCTTCAGCCGATGTCACGAGTACCCCCCCCCCCCCCCCCACCCCTCCCCGAGAGGACATGGCTGGCTGCACGGCCTGCTGTCTCTCGAACACCGGCCGGTTGGCCTTGGGCTGTGCCAACGACTGGGTACAACCGGGGCCTGTTTGTTTAGTAATACTGCTCAGTTCGAGTATAACTCACGACATGCACAGCTCGCGCGACGACGGTCAGGCACCGTCCTGGTTCAGCATCCTGGGTCTGAATGCCGATTGTCACAGAGCCGCGGTGGCGTGCGCTGTGTTCTGTTGCGTGTCGCGTGAGCGTCTGAGTGTCAGCGTGCTGGTCGACCCTGTCGGCGGGCGTGTCTCTGGGCGTGTCCGGGGCGTGTGCCGCGGGCGGCGCGGGCGGTGGCCCAGGCCCGGCCTCTGACCGTGTGTTCCGCGCCCCCCGTCAGGTGTGCTCAGCCCCGGCTCGCACGACTCGTTCGTGGACGAGGGCGCCGACTCACCCTACGAGCACTACTCGGACAGCGACAGTGACGCAGGTGAGCGCTCGTCTCCCGCCGACGGGCTGCCCTCCTGCCCTCGCTCTCGACCGCCGTCACCCCGCCACCGGCTGGCGCCCAGCAGGGGCACAGGTGCCGCGTGTCGTCAGCGCCACGCTGCTCTCGCCCGTCGCTGTGCCGGGTCTCGCTTGGAGCCGGCCTGCTGAGCTGGGGCTGTTCGTAGTTATGCAGCGCTGCCTATCTGTCCCTTCATGTTAAGCGCTGTGTGCTGTCGAAGCGCCGCTGACTGTCACGTTTGCGATCTGCTCGGCGGCCTCTGCTGGCGCGACCCTGACCCAGCTGGCAGGCGAGTGCTTCGCTATGTATGTCTAAATGTGTACGCGTGTGTGACGCGCGTGACGGGAACGCGCGTGCGGCAGGCTCGGCGCTGGGCGATGAGGCGCTGAGCTCATCACTCAGCCGAAAGGAGCGCTACTTCTGGCAGTACAACGTGCAGGCCAAGGGGCCAAAGGGCCAGCGGATTCAGCTGACCGAGGACCTGAACGACCCGCACCACATCAGCCAGGCAGTCGATCCCGTCTTCTCGTCCAGCATCAAGATGGACGGCATCAAGCACAGGTGGGCGGGGCGTGACCTGGCGTCGCACGAGCCGACCTGACCGGGCGGATGGGACACCAGCGGGCTGGCAGGCCACCGGTGGAGGTAGAGGGCTGACCTTGTAGCCGGACCTTGTGTGGGTTTGAGACTCGGGTCTGGCGGGCCGCCGGCGGGGGTGGAGGGCTGACCCTGTAGCCGGACCTTGTGTGGGTTTGAGATTCGGATCTGGCGGGCCGCCGGCGGGGGTAGAGGGCTAACCTTGTAGCCGGACCTTGTGTGGGTTTGATACTGACCGTAAGTCGTCTTTCGGTTTTCCCCGGCATGCTCTGCCTACCACGCCGACACTAACAAGGATATCACGACTTCCACGTGTTGTAAAATGATGCCGACTATGGCTGCGCAGTCCTCCAGTGTAAGCTGACCTGATCCCACGGCCGCTTAATCCTGCAATGTAATTAGCCCAGCTGAAGTTAGGCAGCACCTTGAACTCCGCGCCGGTTCAGATCAGACTGCCGTGACCCGGGTGGTTACCGTAAGGGGCAGGGAATGCACAGGCACACATGTGGCCGCGGTCGCTCACGCGCCACCCTCTCGCTGGCGACGACGCGCTAGGACGGGAGTCGCCGTCCACGTGCGGAGCGCGCCCAGACCGTGGGGCAGCGTGCCGGTCAGTGGCGAGATGTCCCACGGCCGGACGGCCCCGGGCCGATCCTCGGGCCGGACCTGGCGCCGTCGGCTGCCGTCCCCCGGTGACTTTCAAAGCTTCCGAGCGTCACGCGGCTATTTCTGGCGACGCCGGTCCCTGGGCGGCTATTTATAGCGAGGGATACACCTTCACCGACGCTATGTTAGGCCGCATCAATAGTGCAGCCGGGTTATTTTTGGCGGTGCCGAGTAAGGTTGCATGAAGTGCTCCAGTACGCGACTACGTGTTACGACGCGCACACGGCGATTCGCGCCGCCGTGTCGGCCAGGAGCGACCAACCACCTGGCTATTGGCGAGACCAGGCAGTCGGCCCGGCCGGGGCTGCTTTCGGCCCCACCCGGCCGTAGCCAGAACTGCTGCGCGGACACAACAGGCAGTCTGTGGGCGCCATATGGCCGAGGACTTGGCGCCCTCATAGTCAGGTGGTGGTCACCGTGTGTCTGCTGTAAACAGGCCCATTGTGTGTTTGTTTCGGTTGTACCGCGTATCTGCGTACCACCAAGAATGCACGTTGAGGCCCCGTCATGGGAAACCCAATATCCTCCGCGCCCTCAAGCGCACACCGCCAACAGACGACAGTGGCTGGCCGTCCTGGAGCGGCCGCGCGTGCGGAGCCGGAGCGGCGCGGCCGCGCGGTCGGCCCGGGGCTGACAGTGTGTGGGACCGCGCCAGCCGGCGCCCGCCGCACTGCAGAGGCTGACTGGCTGTGCCGTTCGCAGCGGTAAGGCGCGGCGCGGCGACGGCAACGACCTGACGCCCAGTCCCAGGAAGCTGCTCAACATCCAGCGCGACCTGGACAAGCTGAACCGCCTGATCAACGACATGACGCCCGTCTCCGAGCTGCCCTTCAACGTGCGGCCCAAGTCGCGCAAGGAGAAGAACAAGCTGGCCTCCAGGTGGGTTGGGCCGGCGGTGACCCGGCCGGCCGCGTGTGGCGGTCGTGCAGCGGTGGGACGGCTGACTTGCGGCCGGTGAGTCCATTGTCCTCGGCCGCAGCGCTGTGGAGTGACGTGGCGGGACTGTGGAGTGGTCTCGTTATCAGGTGTCGGATATTGAGATAGGCATGGCTGCTGAGTAACCAGCGGAGCCGTGCAGTTCGGAGCGGAGGAGTGAAGCTCAGGCCTCGGGGGAGTTACACATGTATCGCGGCTCGTTGCCGGACTGAGTGCTCACCGGCCGACAGACGCCTCACATCGTCGTCAAGCTCCAGGTGTGGCGTGACGGCCGCGTGACTGTCAGCTGTACCGTGCTGGTCCGTGCCCCCCGGCCCGTGTGCTCGTCTTCGGTGGCCCCTCCGTCCTACCCAGTCCCCCCGGGCCGTGCTGTCGCGCGCCCGCCCCGCCGTCATTGCGCCGAGTGTCCCCTTCCCTCCCTCTCCCCTGCCACGGTCGTATGGGCCATGCTGACCCTGCGGCCTCCGGCAGAGCGTGCCGTCTGAAGAAGAAGGCGCAGCACGAGGCGAACAAGATCCAGCTGTCTGGACTGGGCGAGGAGCACAGTGAGTGGACCGCCGGTCGCTGCGGCGAGGCAGGCAGCCGCTGCCCGGTCCGTTTTACCAGTGTTGCCGGACATGGCAGCGGTGTCGTGCACGCTGGTTCTTCTCTGGCGAAGGATTTTTTGTGGTCTATAGTCTGGTCGCCTGGAAGTGGTAGTCGGTGCACACTAGTTTGTGGACACAAGTAGTCGGGACACGCTAATTTAGCTGCGTAATATTTTACGTGGATGAGGGATAAAACTCTGGGCATGGCAAACCGTTGATTCGCCAGGCGTTGGTCAAATGTTAGTCGCCTGATGGCCGTGTGCGCTTCACGACACTGAAGGGAGACCGTTCCGCGATGATTGTGAAGCGAGGGCTGCTGCTCCGGTATCACCAGCTCCAGCCGGAGGAGGATAGGCGGGACGTGTTACCGCGTACCCCGGTCCAGTATGCCCCGGAGCGCTCCGGCGTCGGCCCGACATGACGCCCGGCCCGGCCCACCTCTGCCGCAGGGCGCCTGACGACGGCGCTGCGCGAGCTCTCGCTGGCGCTGAAGGCGCGCCTGGTGGCGCCGGCCGACGGCGGGCCCTGCCCCACCCGGGAGGAGATCAGCCAGCTGGCGGAGCGTGTCATCAAGCAGACGCACAGTGAGTGGCGCGGCGGCGGCGGGCTCGCCGTGTGCCGCCAGTCTGGGAGCTGTCCACTCGCCGCATCAAGTTGTGGGCGTTCTTTGTGCAGTAGGCCCCGTTCGTCCGCGGACTGAACTGAAGCGCCAACATGTCTCGTCTGTATTGGGCCGTCTCTACCGGGCTGAAGATGTCCGGTCCTTTTGTGATCTGACATCCCATCCCATCTGCCTCGAAATAAACATTTCCAGTGTCCCTATGTACGCAACATACACCTTTCCTTTGTAAGCTCAGCTGGTACCGTTCCTTCTGTCATGCAGCGGACGCTGTCTACCCTTTCTTTCATGAGTGTCCTGTCCGTTTTTGAATTAAGTTGTCTCGATTGTCCGTGAACTCAGCCACAATTTCCGTCGAAGTGAAATCAATGTGTCCGATCTGTCCGCCAAATCAAGACATCCCGTGTGTTGACTCGACGTACTGATGGATCTTGTCGACCTTTGCGCTTAACGTGTTCTGACCGTCTAAGTCAGCCTGTTTCAACCGCCTTTAACCTAAACACGCCTCGTTGGTCTGTGAAGTCATGTCCCGCGT